GTAGTAGTGGTAGTAGTGGTAGTAGTGGTAGTAGTGGTAGTAGTGGTAGTAGTGGTAGTAGTGGTAATACTAGTACTACTAGTACTACTAGTACTACTAGTACTGCTAGTAGTGCTAGTAGTGCTAGTAGTGCTAGCAGTAGTAGTAGTAGTAGCAGTAGTAGTAGCAGTAGTAGTAGTCGCAGTAGTAATTAGTGGTGGTAGCAATAGTGGTGGTATTTGTAGTGGTAGTAGTGGTAGTGGTATTGGTAGTGGCCGTAGTGGTGGTTCTTGCTTTCTTTCTGTCTGTGTGTCTGTCATTCTTTCTGTCTGTCTGTCTTTCTTGTCTCCCCGAAGTATTGTTTCTTGATGCCTGTTTATGTTTTTCTTGATCCCTTTTTGCTTTTTAGTTGATTGATCCCTTTCTTTTTTTTGACCCCTCTCCCTTCTCAAGGGGTACACGAAAGAAATACCCAAACAGCATTGGTGCTTTTCCACACAGTTTTGGAATGAATTTTGGGGAGTGTTTAGAAGCAGGAGAAACAGAAGGATAGGGAGAAGGCGTTCTTGGGGCTGGGCTTGAGGCTTGGTTTCTTTAGGGTTACGCTGGGCATGGCTTAGGGCCTCACTTCGGGTTTCTTTGGGTTCTTTCCCTCCTTCCTTCTTGCCTTGCCTTGATTGCCCATCAGGAGAAGGGAAAAAATGCCGTACCCACTAGAATCACTAGAAGCCGAAGCCACCAAAAGGCAACCAAAAGCAAGCGAGCATGCCCTCTACGAGTCAAAGCACGCAAAAGCAATAGAAAGGAAACAATCGTGAAAAATAAGCAGGACAAGCAGAAGCAGAAGCAAAACACTGCTGGAAAAGAAATCCAAAACAGCAGGGCATTCACAGAACGTATGCTGGAGGCAGAATCAGCAAAACCAATTATATAAACGAGCTTGGTAGGAGGGAAGAAGGTACTGCGGCTCCTTTGAATCCCCAAGACGATTGTGCCCAAAGCATTGTGTGCAACTGCGGTAGGGGGTTTCGTCGAAGGAGGAAACTGTAAAAGGCGGAGCATGGAGCTTGGTTGGTCAAAGGAGGTGTTGCGCCCATTTTTTGGTGTACTGCAATTCAACTCGAGCAAATAGATACATGCATGAAAATTCTGGTCCAAGTCCAAATTCCTGATTCAACCGGTGCACAGAACCACGCCTCCGCCTTCAGTTGGCTGTCATTCTCCGGGATGCACATGCGGTCGAAGAAGACCAGCTGGTGAGGCCGCCAGAAGATGAAGGTCAAAAAGCTAACGATGGAGCCCGTCATGGTGCACCAATACGAGAAGAGATGCTCGTCCTCTGTGACCATTCTTGGAAGATACACCCTGGAAGATGTACATGGAACCAACCACTGGGCTACTGGGCTGTACAGAAAATAGTCTTCCAAGTTTCCATTTTCAGGTTCCATGTCAATATATTTTAATCCTGCCGGGTGTAGGCGACCCAGAAACAAAGAGGCCCAGGCCCAACCAGAAACATCCAGAAACCCTGGCGGAGAAACGTCCACGAGGAACGTCCGCCCTCGCAGACCCTTGCATCCCAACAACCCCCAGCAATCCATGAATGGAATACTTACCTAATCTTACCTACTTTGATCCTTAAATTAAAACATCTTATCATCCCAATCTAGGCACATATTCCTCAAATACATGGATTGCTAGAAAAGAAATCCAAAACTGTTCACCACCTTCTTCTAGACCCGCGGGGGGTCGCCTGCGAAGCCTGCTTGGCAGAAAGAGATGTAGTGCAAACGGTGGGTTAGAACCGATTGAAATTCCGAGGCACATCCCATGTCAGACGGCTAAAGCCTGGAAGAAGTTGGAAGCTGAACAGGATCATCATCAGAAACGCCGCCAAGGTCCCCAGGCACACAGCGATTCGACCATTGTAGATCACCATCAGTGTCAAGGCCTTGGGCCAACGCGGTCCATGCCAACTGTGCGACCAAAAGGTCGTGATCCGTTCCACTTTATAGCTCCTCTTCGAGAGTTCCTTCTCGAGGCCCGGATCAAAGGCCTGGCCACACCTCATCAGGCCACACGTCGAGGGACAGTTTTCCGGGTGTGCGTTGCCACGACCCAAAAATGGCGCGCCAGAAGAATTAGAAATCAATGGTTGGTGTCGCTGGTGTAGTATTGTGTGAATTATGTGGCTTGTGTCTTTTTAATGGGTTCGATTTGTCACGTGTCCTGCAATTGTTCTGGGAAAGTGCCAAGGTTCAGGTGCGATATCTTTATGAATAGTTGTGGATTCGTATAGCCTTGGAAAACATCATAATGAGGACTATGATGAGCCCACGATGTCCGAATGGTAACCTAAATGGATGGCAGGGGGTTCACTCCACCTTGGTGCCATTCCATCGTTGGTCCACCTCGGATTGGTCGGACCCCGGACCCCCGGACCTGAGTCGGTCGAACCGTGGCGTCCACGCCAAACACCCGGAGGTCGTGGTGTTTCGGAAAGGTCGGAGGAGTCCGAAGGGTCGGGTCACAAGAGAACCAACAGGAAGAGGAGCCCAACAGGAAGTTGTTATTTAAAATGCCTAAGGACGTCCTAATCAATCATGACACGTGTCGTGTGTAAAACAGGGTGTTCACCGTGGTGTCTGATTATTTGTCCATGTCACGAAGCGGTGTCGAGTCTCTGCTTTTACGGATCTCTCAATACCTAGAAAGACGTTTAAAAAGTAAAATGAGAAAAACAAATTACCTTTTAAAAAAATCGGTACGAGTAGGATCGGGCAGGTAAGGTTGGCAGGACAGCAAAGGTAGGCAGGCCTTGTGTTGAAAGAATTGGTCGGATGAGCTCAAGATGTTACCAGCACAAAGGAAGGGACCTTGACCTGGATGAATGCGTCGAAATGAGCCCGATTAATCCTCTAGACTGTCTGCAGGGTCGCAGCCGTCATTTCATTTGTGGGTAGCTCGCCTCGCGCATTCTTCAGTTGCTTTCTTGCTTCCTTGCATTGCTTCTGCTCTGTTCATTCCTCTGTTCCTTCGTTGGTTCCTTCTTTCTTTCCTTTCTTTCCTGCCTTGGTTTACCTTGCCCAGCCCGACCCGACACTTCCTTCCGTCCTTCCTTCCTTCCTTTTCTTGCTTGCTTGTGTTCTTTGCTTGCCTTGCTTGCTTGCTTGCAGCTGTGGCCATCTTTCTACCTTCCAACCTTTGAAAGCACTGAGCTCTAGGTATGCGTCAAGTAGTTCTACTGCAGGGTCTGGAATCACTGACCTCCATTCTTCCCATTGCCCATTGATGTCCTTTGTGATGTCCACCCCTGTGTCACCCATTAGCCTTCAGCTTGTCTGTAGATGGCGTCTGAAGCTCCATTTTCTGGAAAGCAATGACCCAGGTTTCGACACCACAGGCAAAAGCATGTTTCACAAGGATGTGATCCGAACTTGAACCATGGAAAGCCTGATTTCCTTTACACACGTGGTCTTCCACTTCCATGGAACCATCCGGAACCTGCAACTCGAGGACAGGGAAGGGCCACAGGAAGGGCCTAAATGATTATGTGATTTAAAAAATAAGCATTTCGGGATTCCAACAGAGTCAATCCCATTTCTCTCCCACAAATCCACCTCCCCACATCTGCAGAAAAAAAGCGCCTCTGAAAGGGCCGGTAGGCTGGCGTGGCACGTAGGACTTCTGGGCTTGTGACTTTCATGCTGGAGACCAAGTTGGCCACCACTGGGAGAGCCCTTTTCATCCTCGCAGATGCGCGATCTGGACAGCCGATGCTGGGACGGCAAGCAGCCGCTTTGAGACGAGATAAACAGAGGGGAGGCATGGCGAGGCATGCCAAAAGAAAAGAGAAAACGGATGATGTGCCTCAACCTCAGAAAACCAAACCATTTCAAACGATGTCCAACCATCCTGGTCTTGCTCCAAACACTCTTCCCAAACAATGAAAAGCCCCGCCTGGCGGCCACCGCAGCCGCTTCACGCGCTTCGTGTCCGCTTGAGCTCTGTGTGCCCGAGCTATACGAGCTGCGAGCGCCCGAGCGACCCTGCAGGGGGTCGGGTTGGGCCGGGTCCGAGACGGAAACGAACATGGTGACGTGGATGGCATGGGCCCCTGGGAAGACAACCTGTCCTTTGCAAACAGGAGAATCCGCCCGAGGAGAAAAGCGGGTTGGCCCGAAGACGAGGAGATAAAGGCGGGCAAGAGAGATGTTGGACAAAATGAGGGCTGCAACATGATGAACCACCTTTCTCACAACATCATACAACATCTCGTCAAGAACTTGGCAGTCATTGAAAAACAGGTGCTCTTATCCCTCTTGAGATGGCACTGCTGCTAGTTGACGAGCGTTATGAGATGTTCGGACTCCCATACATTCCCAGAGGCGGAGTCAGGACATTTCATCAAGTTTCGGGGTTGCCCCCACTTCACCCTTGCTATCACCGGCATCTCCCTCGCGGAGAGGCTTCAACTGCTGGGCTTTCAAACCTGCCCGTTTCATTTGTGCATGGCTTGTTGGAATGGGATGGAGGCTTTATGAGGCTCCTGTCCTCATCCCCTGACTCCTTTGACTCCTTGTGCGGAAGATCACACGATCGCGGCCTCCAAACCTTCCAAACCCTCGAGGTCGAGTGCCACATCTTCTTCCAGATGCCTGGAGGTGGAGGTGTCGCGAGCTTCCCGCCCAAGTCGAGGACCGAGCGGCCGTTGGAAACCGTTCGACTCTGGTAGGATTGCAAAAGAATCCCCTTGGACCCTCGCTGGACCAAGGCCAGTGTATTAATCTGCGCCATCTTGTGCACAAACATGAAACACTACCCAGAGTTAATACCCACATTTCTTGTGCGTTAGCGCGGCCACTACTATCGTGGTCAACATACGCGATCGTGGCACTTCATCCAGTTGGGAACCAACCTCATTGGAGGACCGATCCTTAGTGTGGCCATTTATCAGCCGGAGTGGAGAAATATCATGTAGACTCTAGACTCTTGATTCAAACAAACAATTAAAAAATCCAAATGGATCCATGCGAAGGAGCTTTTACCATCCATGTGTGGAGTTGCTTTTTGCATCAAGAGTCCACCATCGAGGGTGTTTCGACCGCTGGGCCGCAGGTCCGGCGATGGCCGGACCTGCAGAACGGGGGTCTCCTAGTCTTCATACCGGTCACAAGGACGCTATGCTCGGTGGAGGCCATCGCAAGTAGGTTGGAGGCTATCGCTATCAGTAGCAATTGCATACATTATATACATGTGATTCCGAGCATTGTTGCCGTGGTGAGGGTCAGTCATCAGGCATCACTTCTCACTACCTGACTGACCCTCACCGCGGCAACATGGTCTACATTGGTCTCCCGGCATCTCAATAGCCGAAAAGTCTGGGCAGTGGAGATGCAGAAGGCTATCAGTGCGCAACTGCTTGACAATCTTGACCATCAAGCCAAACCAAAAACCAAACTTAACGAAGTCTGACAAGGCTTCAGGTTCATGTAGCATGCCTTCCGCACCAAAACCCCCACGCCGCACCAAACGGGGCCGGACAACGGGGCGCCTCCCATCACCCAGCCCATCCGCCACTTGCGAGCTCAGCTCTGACATGCCATGCACGGCGGAGGGTGGCTCGGTGCGGACCGCTGTCACGGCGCCAGCAATCCGAAAAGCTAAGTGGATGAGTTCAGGATGTGCAAAAGGAGCTGTGCCTCATCCACCAGGGGGGGATTGATCGGATTGATCCAACTATCCAACTTTCAACACCCACTTTCTCCATCCCATCGTAGCTATTGGGCTTGCTGTTGTTGTTGTATGTCCCCCCATCCGTTAAGACCCCACTTGTCGCCCGAACGGGGGTGAAACCATGTACCGGCAGGCATCCAAGACATCGGCCTCACTGGAGCCAGGAGGACGGCCAACAAGGGATGATCAGGGACATGGCAACTACAGTGGTTTCAGAGTAGATGGCACAGACCCCAAGTATATAAACCACCTCTTGGGGTCTGTGCCATCTACTCTCAATCCACTATAGATTGACTTTGATGGAATAACATGGAACAACTATAATACCACTTTGGGCAAGTCAAGAGTGGAACATGGCAAGGCGTCCTCTGGCAAGGCGTGCCCAACTTCGGGACGTGTGGCAATGAATGGGAACCATCTGTAAGGGACCTGAATAACCAATGGCTATGCCAGCTCACAGCTTTTCTGAAAAAGTTGCCGGCTTTTTGTTTATTGATGTCTTTGTCATCTCTATGGCTTCCAAATGCACAATGCAATTCCTAGGTAATGCGACCTCATGGATCTTTTTTCCATCACCAGCCTGGTCGTCCTCAACCTCGCGCCAACCGTCATTGGCGGCACGCATTGGAAGGAACCCGTCATAACCGAATCCTTTGAGTTATAGTTAGCTGGCTTCCTATGACCCAGACGCAACTCATGGAGTTGCAAGCTGGTGTGGCTTTCAAGTGGAGTGGTACAAATGTGCTCATGGCCTCGCAAGCACGCATACTCCAGACTAGTCACAACCCGGCCCTCGGCGGTCTGTCCCTGGAACCTGGCATCTGCCTGTGCTGAAAAACGATGACCGACCAACATGCCCCCCCGCGGTCTGCGCATCGCTTTGCGCCGCCGCGGTCTGCGCCGCTTCGCGCCGCTGCTTTTCAGTCGTTGCGGGCGTAGCCAAGTGGGTCAAGACGCCGCAATACGCTCTCGATCAACAGCCGTTCGATTCAGGCGCTTGCTGAGTCAAGTCAGCAGGATCTCGTCCACACTGAGCGGACGGAGAAACACCACTCCGCCCTGCTGGGGTCTCTCAGAATTGTTTCTTTAATATAATGGGCAAATCTACAGGAAACCCATAGGTGGCGGTGAAATTCGGGTTTGCTGTAGGTTTTCCCTTGAAATGTTCCGATCCGATCCGCAGGCTTCAACCAAACGTCTCGACTTCAAAAGGGCCGTCCAGAAAGGCAGGTGTGGGCGGTCCAAAAGGGTTGTCTTTTGGGTCATGTCTTATGTCTTCATATCCCATGTGTTTCCAGCGGACGGGCGGCAAACTCCAAAACGGTCTTTAAAATGAGATGGCTGCGGTTCTTCCCAGCCAGCCATGACTATGACGAAAACCATGTGAGGCCGCTACTTTCACAGAGCTTGCCCGCCCTGAAGGGGCCTTGAGTGTTTGCCCCGAAAAGAGCGGCCCTTTGAGTCTACACTGAGCCACTGCGGGTTTTGCAGGACAAAAAGGTTTGGTCAACATCGATTCTTCCCTGAGACAGGGGAGAATGAGGGCGAGGTGAGGTAGCACTGTGTTGGTGTTTATTTGATGTTTGTGTGATTGAGCCATAAATAATATCGCATCATAAATCACCATGTTATACTATATTATTACATGTTAAAACCGCATGTGTATATATATATATATATTGGCAAGAATTCCACAACAAATATATATATATATGTGTGTGTGTGTATTTACTATTATAATTTATAATGATCAATGATACAACATCCGGACGTGCCTTTATTGCACTCCACTGTTCCAATGACACTTGCATATACATTCAATGAAACCACCTCACCCCGTGTTCTTAGGTCGACCACCCGTAATGCCATCCACCGCGAGTCGGCACTTCAAGTCGCATCAGTCGGCACCTGTCGCGTCAGTGATATCTCATATATTCATGTCTTTGGTTTCCCTTCATGTGCCATACTTGCAAACAATTCCTGTGGTCCTATCGGTGTCTTTTCTTGGTATGTCTGCTTGAACAGTCTGGACCAAGTGAATCGTTGACGGGTGGTCTACATCTCGGTGCTGGTGCTTGGAGATCTTTCCTCCGTCGCAATTGGGTCGGATGACCGTGTCTTTTTCGGGGAAGACGGATCGAGGGACCGTCTCAGCGTTCTGCGTTCGTTCCGCGGCAGTTGGGTCAGGAGTCAGAACTGTTCATGGATGTGCATGTGCCAACTTAGAAATTCAGAAGAGAACCATAAAGCCATACAGAACCTCTGAAAAACCAGGGGCGAGCCGGGGAGGGGTATCCAAATTCACGCACGATCACCGACCCCCAGCCATCGCCTTCTTCAAGTGAATGGCCTGGAAGGCCATGCCGGCGACCAGCTTGGCTCTTGGGGACCTTCTTGGTACATCGTTGGTGCACTTGATGGAGCAACCAAGCTGTCAGCAGCGGACCGGCGCAGTAGCTGCTGCGGGGGAATCCCAGCACGAAAATGCCGCCACGGACGAAGATGGCCCAGCCACTGACATAGAAGGCAGCTGCTAAGCCCAGGGCCATCACCGCACAAAGCACGACAAAGAAATTGCGAAAGACCTCACTGCAGAATGAGGCACCTCTCCGGCGAAAGCGACGTGCCAGGAAAACCACGATGTGGAACACGAATGGGCACAAGATCAGTTGGATCACCTCAGGCATCGATGGCGCGTGCAAATCAAACAAAACTGTCTCAACTGCGCAGCTGCTTCCCGACCATGGATATTTCAACCGTCTAAGACGCTCAACGGAACTCCGAAACAGTAGCCATCAACCGGTCAATGACGAACCCGTCCATCGAGACCAAGTAAACCGAAGCTGAAACCGAACCGAAGCAAAAACCACAGCGGCTGCCGAAAGAATAGCCGTCCACCTGGCACAAGCGGAAAGAAAGAAACCTGAAAGAAAACCTATAAAAGCCATATTAGACCAAAAAAGTATCTGAATGCACTGATGCACGTGGCACATTGTTGCACTTCCTGCCACTTTCAGCGGCGTCTCCGAAAGGGCCGAAACTGAACGGTTGAAGCGGTGGAACCTACATGTTCAGGTCCTGGAAAAAGGGAATTAAGAATATCTAAAATAGATAAAAGGAAAGAGAACAAAGAAAGAAAGACCAGCAAACAACTGGAAGGAGTTGTTCCTCCCTCATATTTTGTGCTCTTGTGGCATGTGTTTTAACCGTGTTGTTGCATCGCGTTTGGTGCCGGGCTTTGGAAAGAACCAATGATAGAAAGAAAGAACAAAAAGTGAATTTAAAAAAAATATATATATATATATAAAAATCATGTGTAGACAAGGAATAAACAAATGAAAAAAACACAAGAATGTGCAGCCTCCTGCATCTGCGGTGCCAAACCAAGGATCCGAGTGAAGCATGCAAAATTGGTGCTAGCGTCGGGTGCGAGTCACCACCCCATGACGGCACCAGCTTTCCTAAATAACACTGAAAACCTTGAGGTCCCAGTTCCACCCGGCAAAGCTCAGCTGCAAAAAGAACATGACATCCTTACAGGTCCTTCTCTTGTGCAAGTGATTGTGTCGACTCTCTTTCTGCAGACCCTGCTAGTACCTCCTAGTGAATATAGATGGTATACGCGCGAAACATGGTATAAGATGGTATAAGCAACACACAACCCACATAAACGCATAATACAGTAAATCAATATGAGGAACATTTCTTCACGTATCCGGTATTTTACCACCTTCAACCGTGGACGGGCCCCGTTCGAAGGTAATACTTGAAATAGAGTTCCAGCCTACAGCTATAACTGTAACAAATCGATGGGTAGAACCGGTCGAAATCACACGATTACTTCGACACGTCCGGCCTACAAAATCAACAGAAGGACGAAACCTCTGAAGCAAAACACATGATATAACTAGAATGCTGCTGCTGCTGCTGCTGCTGCTGCTGCTGCTGCTGCGGCGACCGAAAGCCGAACTGAGGAACTACTACTTTAATCATCTTCAGTTTACTTCAATAACGTATATAAGTTATAGAGAAATGCATGTACACTATATATTCTGTTGTGGACCGCCAACAAAGCCGAAAGCATCAAATCGAACCATCAATTGAACCGATACTCAAACATAGACGCATAGCATCGCTTCGAAGCGAACTCGATGCATCGCTTCGCTACCATGCCAACAACAAGCACTCCAACAAGCACTGGACTTGTGGAGCTTCACAGCTCGTCAGGACCAAGCTGGGATGGGTCCAACGGATCCAGTCTACATTGTAGACTCTTGATGAATAGAACCCCCCTTGGAAGGTGTTTTACCATCCAAGTGGGGGGTTGATTGATCAAGAGCCTACAATAGCATCTGGTGGCCTTAGAAATCCAAGTCGCCAGTCCGTCCACGAGGAATCCCCAACCAATCCACGGCAACCCAGACTCGGCATCGGCGAGAAATTGCATATAGGAGGCCGCCAGGTCCATGAAGGCCCACAACACAGGCGCGCAAACAGCTCGGCTCATATTCGCAGAGAAGACCCGCTCCTGAAGGTCCTTGGTTCCGGCGGAAATCCGAGAACTCTCGACATATCTTGGCTCGTGGGGCTGAAAAGGGTCTTGCTGTCTGATTGAAAACTATGTGATCTTGTGATACGATTAAATACTTACATAAATGTGTGTTCGATGTCTTTGCCAAGTGACCTGATCTTAGAGTCAGGGCCAACCATTTTGCCAGCCAAAAAGATCAAGCATGATCAAGTTAACAGCTGTTGACAGCTGCTCAGAAGGGGGTGAGGAAAAGAACGGAAATCCCTGAGGGTCCAGTCCTGACTCATGACCTGGTAGTGGTGGAGGGTGGAGTATCACTTCCAGGTGCCGTAGCTTTGTAAGTGATTGGAGGTTCCAGAAATGCGTGGAATTGAATCATTGGTCACTTTAGCCATATTGAACCTGTTCGGGGTTG